CCCAGCGAGATTGCTTGAGGGCACAAGAGGAGCCAGCATGTCCTTATTCAGGCTTGCCTAGGCTACCCTAACGTGATTGCCTTAATCTGAGGGTGACAAAAAGCACACCAAAAATGACACCTGTCACAACTGGCTGCTGGAGACCAAGGCAATCAGTCTGCAAAGCTGGAGGAAGATTCCTGTTCCATCTGCATGCCTTGAAAGCTAGTAATGACTGGCTAATAGAGAAAAGAATATGGGACACAGACAAGATGCCAGAATTTCAGCGTTCTAGTAATGTATGTGAACTCGGGCTGTTCTTCCTACCTCCTGATTTCCTTCTCTCTTTAGAGTCCAGGAGGCTGCTGAGTGCCTTCCCACTCTATAAGCCATGTAAGCAACATAGCTTCTAATGAGAGCCTCCTAAGCAACTACTCAGTGTACTAAGTTGCAGTGGCAGCTGTATGCAATGCCAGCAGTGGGTTTCCAGGGCTACTCATGAGTAAGACACATGGATCAAGTGCCCCCCCCCCCCGGGGTTCTAGCCTTGTGTAGGCAAACCATGCAGGAGGAGATTGCCAGTTCTGGCAAGGTAGAGATGGAAGACACACGCCCCACCCCAGCTCCTTCTCCTGCCCCCTCCCTACCTACGGGCAGGGGATTTGGGCAATGCAGCTTCTTCCACAGGGAGACCTAGCTGGCCCCTAAGGCAGCTAGGAAGGAATCTTATAATAGAAAGAGAGAGAGAGAAAGATCACTCTCTATGGGACTCTCTTGAATTTAAAAGGAGGATGAAATATACTATTTTTATTTAGTTTTGACTTGGTGTTACCTGCCCTGAATCCTATTATGCAGGAAAGGGCAGATTATAAATTGAATATATAAATAGAAATTCATGAACAGTCCATAATCCTGAGAACTACTAACACCATGAGTACTCTAAGACCATGAGTACTCTAAGACCATGAGAACGCTAAGACCATGGCAGCATTAGAGCTGCAGGAGGTCCCCTCTAAAGAACAGTCAGGCCCTCCTAATTCTCAGACC